CCCAGCCCTTGGCCTTGCTGAACCTCAGCCCATGGGCCCATCCTGGCCAGGTCCCTCTGTAGGATCTTGTGGACACTCTGAGAACCCAACAGGACTCGTGCAGACCTTAGCAGCCATCTGTTTTCTCCCCTGGCCAGGCCTGTTGGCGAGGGTACAAGCAGCGCCGAGCTTACCTGGAGAGGCTGCACTACCTGCAGGCCCAGGGAGATGCTGTGATAAAGGTTTGGGGAACCTCCTTCACCCTCTGCTCCCACACTGGGCACCACCACCTGCTTGTTCAGCAGTGTGCCATTGCCACCCTGCCCAGTGAGGCAGCAGCTGGACCTGGGCACGGGGGCAGCTTGGGCTGGGGAGAACATCTTCCAAAAATCCTCCCAGCTTTCCCCCTTCTGCCCCCTGATTTTTGGCTGGGTGATTCCTTCCAGCACCCAACTCTCTGACTGTCTCTCCCAGATCCAGGCGGGTGTGAGGATGTGGCTGGCTCGGAGGAAGTACCAGGAGAGGCTGCACTACTTCAGGCAGAACGTGAGTGGTGGGACAGGGAGTGAAACAGCTCCTGGGAGTGGGTGACCCCCTGTGGGGCTGGAGGGGAGGGTCCTGAGCCAGACCTCTGCCCCCAGCACTTGTGGGGCAGCTGGAGGGAGGGACTGGTGCATCCTCACCCAGGGGCAGATGGGCAGGAAATGGTGCCTGGTGGGTCTGGAAGCCAAACTCCTAGAATCTGTGAAGCATGAGGAGAGAAATGCTCCAGTTCCACCAAAACCCAGTGAGGACTTCAGGATGTCCATTAGAGGGGAAGGATGTTTGGGGGGGTGGAAGGTTGAGTCTGCTGCAGGAAGTGAAGCTGCACCTCTGGAGTCACTGCAGTGAGAGAGCAAGTGGAGGGGAAGAGATCTGAGGGTCCTCAAATTCCTCCTGGGTGGTGGGGTCCCTCCTCCTGGGTGGTGGGGTCCCTCCTCCTGGGCATCAGCAGGTTCCCAGTGGTGGGAGCAGGTAGCTGGTGCCTGTCCAGCTCTCCTGCTCCCCGTGTGTTTCGGGGATTCTGCAGGGAAACATCCCCCCACCCCCTTGTTTGTCTTGGCAGATTAAAGCTGTAATTAAAATCCAGGCTTTTGTTCGAGCTAACAAGGCCCGTGGGGATTACAGGATGCTGGGTAAGTGGCTGCTCCTCTCTGCTCTGAAGTGGTGATAATGAACTGGGAAGGGGACTCTGCTCCTCCCTCCTCAGCCCTGTGCAGGGGGGAGGTGGTGGCAGGCTGGCCACCAGTGTCCCTGTGGCAAGCA